CCTCTCCCAGCCTGTAGTTCTGCTTGGGGTTATTGCGCCCCAGGTGCAGGACCCGGCACTTGGCCTTGTTGAACTTCATACAGTTGACCTCAGCCCATCGGTGCAGCCTATCCAGATCCTCCTGCAGAGCCTTCCTACCCTCGAGCAGATCGACACACGCACCTAGCTTGGTGTCATCTGCGAACTTACTGAGGGTGCACTCAATGCCGTCATCCAGATCATTGATGAAGATGTTAAAGAGGACCGGCCCCAGCACCGAGCCCTGGGGGACGCCACTAGTGACTGGCCTCCAACTGGACTTGGCTCCATTTACCACAACTCTTTGGGCCCGGCTATCCAGCCAGTTTCTAACCCAACGAAGTGTGCGCCAGTCCAAGCCAAGAGCAGCCAGTTTCTTGAGGAGAATGCTGTGGGAGACGGTGTCAAAAGCCTTGCTGAAGTCAAGGTAGACCACATCCACAGCCTTTCCCTCGTCCACCCAGCGCGTCACTTTGTCGTAGAAGGAGATCAGGTTCGTCAAGCAGGACCTGCCTTCCATAAACCCATGCTGGCTGGGCCTGATCGCCTGCTTGCCCTTCAAGTGCCGCATGATGACTCCCAAGAGGATCTGCTCCATGAGCTTCCCTGGTACTGAGGTCAAACTGACCGGCCTGTAGTTCCCCGGGTCTGCCCTCCGGCCCTTCTTGTAGATGGGCGTCACATTTGCTAGTCGCCAGTCAGCTGGGACCTCCCCCGATAGCCAGGACTGCTGATAAATGATGGATAGGGGCTTGGCCAGCTCCTCTGCCAGTTCTCTCAGTACCCTTGGGTGGATCCCATCCGGCCCCATCGATTTGTGCACATCCAAGTGCCGTAGCAGGTCACCAACCAGTTCTTCGTGGATGGTGAGGGCCACATCCTGCTCCCCGTCCCCTTCCACCAGTTCTGGGTACTGGGTATCCAGAGAGCAACCGGTTTTGCCGCTAAAGACTGAGGCAAAGAAGGCATTAAGCACCTCCGCCTTTTCCTCATCTCTTGTAACTAAGTTTCCCCCCGCATCCAGTAAAGGATGGAGATTCTCCCTACTCCTCCTTTTGGTGTTGATGTATTTATAAAAGCGTTTTTTGTTATCTTTAACAGCAGTAGCCAGATTGAGCTCCAGATGAGCTTTGGCCTTCCTAATCTTGTCCCTGCACAGCCTCGCTACATCCTTATAGTCCTCCTTAGTGGCCTGCCCAATTTTCCAAAGATTATAAACCCTCTTTTTTCTCCTTAGCTCAAGCCACAATTCTCTGTTGAGCCAGGCTGGTCTTCTTCCCCGCTGGCTCATCTTTGGGCGCATGGGAATAGACCGCTCCTGCGCCATTAGGATTTGCCTCTTAAAGAGCGCCCAGCCTTTCTGGACCCCTCTGCCCTTCAGAACCGCCTCCCATGGGACTCCACCAACCAGTGTCCTGAGCAGCCCAAAGTCAGCCCTCCGGAAGTCCAATACAGTGGTTTTACTGGTTCCCTTCCTGGCCCCGCCAAGAATAGTGAACTCCACCATTTCGTGGTCACTCTGCCCAAGACTGTTCCCGACAATCACATCCTCCACCAGTCCTTCTCTGTTTGTGAAGAGAAGGTCTAGCAGGGCACCACCCCTGGTAGGTTCACTAACCAGCTGCGTCAGGAAGCTATCTTCCACGCTCTCCAGAAACCTCCTAGACTGCTTCCTCTGGGCTGTGTTGTGCTTCCAGGATATATCTGGGAAGTTGAAGTCCCCCACGAGTACAAGCGCCGACGATTTCGCAACTTCTGTCAGCTGCCTGTAGAACTCCTCATCCGTCTCCTCATCCTGGTTCGGCGGTCTATAGCAGACCCCGACCAGGACACTAGCCTTGTTGTCCCTGCCGATCCTAACCCAAAGGGACTCGATCTTGTCATTCCTAGCCTCGAGTTCTACAACATCGAAAGACTCTCTAATATAGAGAGCCACACCGCCACCCCTTCTGTGCTGCCTGTCCCTTCTGAAGAGCCTATAGCCAGGCATCGCAGCACTCCAGTCGTGGGACTGGTCCCACCACGTTTCCGTGATGGCAACCAAGTCGTAGCCTGCCCGCTGCACGATGGCTTCCAGCTCCTCCTGTTTGTTACCCATGCTGCGTGCATTGGTGTAGATGCACTTCATCTGGGCCATTGCCTTATCCTCCGGCCTTGCCATTGCTCCCCCTGGCACAGCCCCAACAGTCCTTGCTTCAACCCCATCCCCCTTCTTACCTAGTTTAAAGCCCTATCAATGAGCCCTATCAATGCAATACAAGAGTTTCCTCCAATGACATAAAAAAAAATTATAATAATGTAATACATAACTATTCACACTCTTCCCACACTGAAAAAATTGAGGTATTTATCTCTTCAGGTACATCTTCCAGAACTTAAAAAAATAAACTGGGAAAAGCATGTGCAAGGAAAGTAATGACTAGTTTGTTGGAAAACAGTACATCAAAACTTAAAATCATTTTATACTGGAAAGTAGTTAACATCAGTCAGACTGCAACTGACTAGAATACATCGAGCCAGTTATACATGTCAAAATCAGTTGTAGGATTTCAGAATCTTAGAGAAGTCTCGGAGCTTTTCCAACTCCTATGCATATGAAACTTTGCCAGAGTAACACCTTGGTCACCTGCACTTAAAAGGTACAAAGACAAACATATTTCACTATGTTTCTATATTTCACTATATATACATCTATGTGTGCATATATGCGCACTTACTATATATATATATATGCCTATAAAAAAATTGCTGATGCAAAATAGTTTATTAATTTTATATATATATATATAAATGTGTGTATAAACAATGTAATTGCACAAGTAGTTTAAGAAAAAAACTCTGAAGTGCTTCTGGGAAGGAATATTATCTTCTGGCTAACCACAGGGTGATGCTATTGCACTTATTGTTGAACTCCAAAGCTTTCTTCTATTATGGAACAGATGGCATACAAAGCACGCACTATAAAGCACACTACAGAACCTGTTAGAAATAAAAGGGATTACTTTCCCTCCGGTTCATGTAAACTTTTTGGATTTCAGCAAAGTTTTCAATACTGTATTTCAAAGTATCCTTCTGGGCAAAATGTCCAGCCAGCACACAACTCGACAAACACATAATATGATGGGTGAACAACTGGTTGATGGGTCAGGCTCAAAGGGTTTATTTAGTAAATGGGGTGAGGTCAGACTGGTGCCCAGTCACTGGTGGGGTTTTGCAGGGTTCCATTTTAGCCTCTTCTCTTTAATGTTTTCATAAATGACTTGGAACCAGGACTTAAAGGTCTGCTAATTAAGTTGGATGATGATGTGAAACTCAGGGGAGTTGTTGACTCCCTTGAGGGTAGAGAGGCTTTACAGAGATGTTGACAAACGAGAGGGCTGGGCAATCACCAACTGCATGAAATTCAACAAGAGCAAATGCCAGATTCTGCACCTGACACGTGGCAACCCTGGCTGTACGCACAGTCTGAGGGGACCAGAGGTTGGGGAACAGCCCCACAGGAAGGGATCTGGGAGTTCTTGTCAATGTTGAACATGAGCCAGCAGTGTGCCCTGGCAGCCAGAAGGGCCACTGTGCCCTGGGGTGCATCAGGCACAGCATCGCTAGCTGGTCAAGGGAAGGGATTGTCCTGCCGTGCTCTGTGCTGGTGCAGCCTCACGTTGAGTAAGTGCAATTTACGCAACACAGTGTGTAAATTAAATTAAATTATTAGAAAGCATCTAAAGATGGTGAAGGGCCTAGAGGGCAAGACGTATGAGGTGCAGCTGAGGTCCCTTGGTTTGCTCAGCCCTGAGCCTCATCGTGGCCTGCAGCTCCCTCAGGAGGGGAGCGGAGGGGCAGGCGCTGAGCTCTGCTCTCTGGGGACAGCGACAGGACCCGAGGGAACAGCGTGGAGCTGGGACAGGGGAGGGTCAGGCTGGGGATTAGGGAAAGGGTCTGCACCCAGAGGGTGCTTGGGCACTGGGACAGGCTGCCCAGGGTAGCAGTCAAGGCACTGAGCCTGCTGGAGTTCAAGAAGTGTTTGGACAACGCTCTCAAGACACATGGCCTGATTTTTAGGTGGTCCTGTGTAGACTCAAGTACTGTAGTCAATGATCCTTGCGGGTCCCTTCCAACTCAGGATATTATTTGAATCTATGGTGACATATCTGAGGGACACATTTCAATAGGTTAACCTGACTTCATTTCCATGCTTACCTTAGGATGTTCATAGCCAAGTTCACAGTTACAGCTCTTGAAGTGCAGCTTTTCCAAATGGGATTTGTGTACCTACTCAGAATCTCACTTCTTTGTATGTACTACAACCAATATTAAACTTCATCTAGTTTTCATTTCATAGCTTGGAATATCTTGGAAATATCTTTACAACTTAAAACAGTTTACCTTTGGAGTGAACAATTTTCTAGCTTTACTACATTTACAAACCAAATACCTGCCTCTGCAGATCACCTTTACTTCTGCATACGCATCCCCTGACACAGAATACAATGTCCCTCTTTCAACCCTGGGCCAAACGTCACTTAAGAATCCTGTCACCACAGTGGGCTCCACAACACTGTTTTGTCTCCTTACTATACAAGTGATATTCATGTTTAGAGGCTACTGTGCATCAGGCTAGGGAAGTCAAAAGGGAAATGGACTCATGAACTGGGTCTTGGGCTTCCCTGATTCTGCTGCCTCAGCTGTGAACCACAGTACAAGTGGGCCTCAACACCATAGTACACTGGTAGCTTGGTTTAGTTTCTAACATTAAGCCAGCTATAACGCGTTCCATCAAAGCAAGCAAGACTGCAAAACAGTAAGCATAACTTTGTACAGCTTTATATATTCTTCAGAAACATGCTGCAATATTTATCTATTTGTGAGACTCGTTTTTTCCTCTACCAGAAGAAAACCCAACATACCACATAGACTTGTTCACCAAAAAAAGTTCCAAGTATCATCTAATGCAATTCATCTTTCCAACTATTAATACACCATACCTGCAAAACACTTTCCAGTTTGGTTCTCTCCTTAAGAAGCAATTCATATTCATCCTTGCATTTTCTGAGAATATCATCCTTTTCATTTGCAAGTCTTTGCTGTTGTTCTTTCCACTTTTGTTGAGCAATATGAAATGCTTTCTCAGTCTCTACCACTTTCTGCTGAAGTTTTTCATTCGATGCTATTGTTTACAGAAAAGAGAAAGACAAGTACTACTGCTAAGCATGTTCAGAAGAAAAAGGTATAACATATGCTGGTTTATCTGTGTATTGTGATATTCTGTGGAACATGAGAACATTAACATTTTGAGCACTGGAGAACACCACTTCCTCAATAATGAAACAATAAAATTTTGAGTTTCTGTAGTACCTTTCACACAAGGACATAAGGATGCTTCAGAGGTTTTTATAAACTGAAACCCTTCTCCTCTCGTAAAAGACTAAAAACCTGAGATAACTCTTTCAAGTGAGGTGTTTATAACACAGAGGACAATTTCAGATTTCTACAGTACTTGGCCAGCTAATTTCCATATTTCTATCTGATAGATGCTGGTCTCTAGCATTTAACTTTGAGCTCAGTTAAAGACAATTAAAGACTTTAAAGGCATGCACCTGCCTAATAAAAGGAACTATAAGAAAACCATGCTGAGTGATGCTGTTGAGATGCTGGAAGAAAAAGATGACATTCAGAAGAACATAGATGGCCTTGGGTGCTGGGCCTATATGAGCCTTATGAAGTTCAACAAGGCCAAGTGCAATGTCCTGCACCTGAGTCAGGGCAATCCTAGGCGTGAATACAGGCTGGGTGATGAGTAGGTAGACAGCAGCCACGCAGAGAAGGACTCGGGGCAGTGGTGGATAAAAAACTGAACACAAACCGGCAAACCATATCCTGGGCTGCATCAATAGAAGCTTGGCAAGCAGGCTGAAGGAAGTGATTCTCCCCCTCTGCTCTGCTCTTGAGACCCCACCTGGAGCACTGCATTCAGCTCTGGGGCTCCCAACATAAGAAGGACATGGACCTATTAGAACAGGTCCAGAGGAGGGCCACAGAGATGACCGAAGGGCTGGAGCACCTCTCCTGTGAAGACATGTTGAGTTGGGATTGTTTAGTGTGGAGAAGAGAAGGCTACAGGGAGATCTTGTTGCAGCTTCCAGTATTTAAAGGGGGCCTACAGGAAAGCTGGGGAGGGAGGGACTCTGTCAGAGTGTTGTAATAGGACGAGGGGTAATGGCTTTAAACTAGAAGAGGGGAGATTTAAAACTAAAAGAGGGGAGATTTAGATCAGATGGTAGGAAGAAATCCTTCACTCAGAGGGTGGCGAGGCACTGGAACAGGTTGCCCAGAAGCTGTGGATGCCCTGTCCCTGGAGGGACGTTCAATGGGGTTTTGAGAAACCTGGTCTAGAGGGTGGTGTCCCTGCCATATGGGCAGGGATGGATCCAGATGGTGTTTAAACTCCATTCCAGCCCAAGCCATTCAATGATTCTACAACCCAAAGCAGGTTAGGCTAGTGAAAAAAGGCTTGGCTTTTCCAATGAAACTTCATGCTGCCCCAAAGATTTAAACCTTCAACCCTGCAAATGCCCTGAGATAGGGGAATATTGTATATGCTCTTCTGCAAAACCTTAAATGCTGTAGAAACCTTCATTACCTATCCCTATTAATAGTTTGACTAGGAACATTGTTGTATTTCACAAGCTGGCTTTTGGATGGAAGTATTTTCTATCAGGTTCTCACTTCTATGAACACAACTAAATGCACTGGCATTTCAGTGATCACCACTTTCTAACAGGTTTTTATTTCAAATTCATATGAGTTTTCTGAAAATTCTTCCCACCTGAAGAAGAGCAAAACGAACAAAAGAGGCACATTAAGACAAGACAGAGAATCAGTGGACAAAACAATGAGAAAGGACTGCAAGATGGCAGAAAATCAAGACTCACTGAGAACAGCAGAAGAACAATTTGGAGGAAATACTGAGGAGGGCTATAGGCCACAAACAAGCCCTTCTGTCCAAGCTGCTAAAAAATCTAAAAAATCTAAATCAAGAACCACAGAAGTGTAGGGGTTGGAAGGGACCTCAGAAGATCATCGGGTCCAACCCCCTGCCAAAGCAGGTTCCTCAGAGCAGGCTGCCCAGGTAGGCGCCCAGATGGGCCTTGAATATCTCCAGGGAAGGAGACTCCACAACCTCCCTGGGCAGCCTGTTCCAGTGCTCCGTCACCCTCACCGTGAAGAAGTTCTTTCGCATGTTGGTGTAGAACTTCCTGCGCTCCATCTTGTGGCCATTACTCCTTGTCCTGTCCCCATAAACCACTGAAAAGAGGTTGGCCAAATCCCTCTGTCTCCCACACCTCAGGTATTTATACACATTGATGAGATCCCCTCTCAGTCTTCTCGTCTCCAGGCTGAACAGACCCAGGTCTCTCAGCCTTTCTTCATAGGGAAGATGCTCCAGTCCCTATATCATCTTTGTGGCCCTCTGCTGGACTCTTTCCAGGAGATCCCTGTCTTTTTGTACCAGGGAGCCCAGAACTGGACATAGTACTCCAGGTGAGGCCTGACCAGGGCAGACTAGAGGGGGAGGATCACCCCCAGTGACCTGCTGGCCACGCTCCTTTTAATGCACGCCAGGATCCCATTGGCCCTCTTGGCCACCAGGGCACGGTGCTGGCTCATGGCCAACCTGTCATCCACCAGGACCCCCAGGTCCTTCTCCTCAGAGCTCCTCTCCAGCAGGTCATCCCCCAGCCTGTACTGATACATGCTTTTGTTCCTTCCCAGGTGCAGGACTCTACAATTGCTCTTATTAAATCTCACTCGGTTTCTTCCTGCCCATCTCTCCAGCTGGTCCAGGTCTCACTGAATGGCAGCACAGCCTTCTGGCATGTCAGCCACTCCTCCCAGCTTTGTGTCATCGGCGTACTTGCCGAGGGCAGACACTATTCCCTCATCAAGGTCGTCGATGAAGATGTTGAACAAGACAAAACCCAGCACAGACCCCTTCTTGAAGACTGGAGTGACACTGGCTATCCTCCAGTCTTCATGCACCTCACCCGTTCTCCAGGACCTTTCAAAGATGATAGAGAGTGGTTTGGCAATCGCCTCTGCCAACTCCCTTAGCACACATGGATGCATCCCATCGGGGCCAATGAATTTGTGTGCATTGATCCCACTCAGATGCTCCCAAACCACTCCCTTGTCAACAAGGGGGGAGCTCTCCATTTCCCGGACTCTTTCTCCTCCCTCCCAGTGTACAGGAGTCCTGGGGGGAGTCCTTGAAGCAAAGACTGAAGCAAAGAAGGCATTCAGTATCTCTGCCTTCTCAGCGTCTCCCATTACCAGGACACCCCCCTCGTTCAGCAAGGGACCCACATTATCCCTAGTCTTCCTTTTACCATTTACATATTAAAAAAAATAAATAAATATTATCCTTTATCTCTTTTGCAAGCCTCATCTCTAGTGGGCTTTAGCCTTCCTCGTCACGTCCCTGCAGGCCCTGACAACACATCTGTACTCCTCCCAAGAGGACAGGCCCTTTTTATGCATTTCATAAACCTTCCTCTTCCTTTTGATCTTGCCAATGAGATCCTTGCTCATCCACGCAGGTTTCCTGCCCCCCTTCCCTGATTTTCTTACTCTTAGCTTGCAAGAAGTGCTGTTTAAATGTAGCCCAGCTCCCACATGCACCCTTGCCTTCTAGCAACCTATCCCATGAGATACTCCCAAGCAGGTCCCGGAAGAGGTCAAAGTTGGCTCTCCGAAAGTCCAGGGTAGCAATGCTGCTTTTAGCCTTACTTCTTCCACCAAGTTCCATCTGGAACTCCACCATCTCATGGTCGCTGTATCCCAAGCTGCCTCCGACCTTCACATCCCTAACAAGCCCATCCCTGTTGGTAAGGATAAGGTCCAGAACTACCCCCTGCCTCGTTGGCTCCTCCACCACCTGCGTCAGAAAATTATCTTCAACACATCGTAGGAACCGTTCGGACTGCACATGCCTGGCTGAGTTGCTTACCCAAAAGATGTTTGGATAATTTAAGTCCCCCATGAGAACCAGTGCCTGGGACTGTGAGGCTACTTCCAGCTGCTTGTAGAAGGCCTCATTGACCTCCTCCTCCTGATCTGGTGACCTGTAGTACAGCCCCACAGCAGCGTCCCCCATACCAGCCCACCCCTTAATTCTTACCCACAAGCTCTCCACTTGTCCTTCACCCTCCCCCAGCTGGAGCTGGGTACACTCTAATTGCTCCCTCACATAAAGGGCAACCCCACCCCCTCGCTTCCCCAGCCTGTCTTCCCTATAAAGGACATAGCCCTCCATGACTGCGTTCCAGTCGTGCGAGCTGTCCCACCACGTCTCAGTGATCGCAACAAGATCGTGGCCCCATGACCGAACACAGATCTCAAGCTCATCCTGTTTATTTCCCATGCTTTGCACATTGGTATACAGAATGCCAGGTGGGGTTACATCACAGCACCAAATAACTGAATAAAGCTCCAAGTGACCAAGGAAAACAAGCAGTAAAACACAAACAGCAAAAGAGCTGTGAAGCAACTTCATAATTATTTGACTTCTTCAGTGGCTGTTGCAAAGGAAAAAAAAAAACAGTTTGGGGATTAAATTTCAACCAATTTAATTCATTGCCAATTAATAGATGACTAAACACTGTTTCTTCCAACATGAGAAACAAACTAATATACTGACACACACGGAAAACACCCCTCATTTCTGCAAAATCTCTCTGATCTCCTTTTTGCTCTCCAGTCCTCTCACTGCATATTGCAATCAGTTCATCTGCTGAGGTGACGGGCAGTGCAGGAGATCAGGGGCAATGCACTGTGGTTCCTCCACCAATGGTAGTCCCTTTTGAGTCCTACCTCTGTCTCTGCTCAGGCCATTACTGCTTTGGCCCCAGCCCTACTCTGTTCCTGCCTCTCCTTTCTTCTCTAGCCACCTCTCCCTCCTGCTGCTCTGGTGATGTTTCTGTTTTCTTCTTTTTGCTTCATCTCAGCATTTACCACCCTTTCTGGGCTACTTTTCTACAGAAGTACCACATACTTGCTGGTGGGCACACTTTCATGCTTGCTGGGTTCATCAGCTGTGGAGCTGACTACAACATACCTCCTCCTGCAGAGGTAACCAACAGCCCCATGCCCCCCATAGCAGCCAACAAA